GTTCGGGATGCCACGAGTCTGGGTTAGCGACCAAGGAACCCATTTCAAGAACGTGGCCATGAAGGCGCTAGCCCACAAGTTCAAGGTCCATCATGACCTAACCTTGGCCTACTGCCCCTGGCGCAATGGAACGGTTGAGCGAATGAACCGCGACATCCTCCAAGTGATGCGGGTCATGTTGCGAGAATACCAGCTAGGCGAACAGGAATGGGACTACCTGTTGCCAGTGGTCCAAGCCAACCTCAACCAAACACCGGCAGCATCACTGGCGCCGATGGAGCTGTTCACGGCTTTGATCCCGGCGACTCCCCTGGATGTCGTCGTGGTGGGCATGAACAAGGAACTCCGAGAGAGCGACTGGACGGCCAAGGAAATTCCCAAAAACCTGGACAAGCTGCGTGCTAGCCTGCAAGTCATGCACAAAGAAGTCCTAGACAAGAATGCGATGCGCGCGGCGAAAGCGACGAAAGCGACCGAGAAATACGAACAGTGCAACGTCAGCGAAGGCGACAACGTGCTCTGGTCCCGGGTCGACGAACGATATCACCCCAAGCTGCTCGTAACCTGGACGGGGCCCTACCGAGTCAAGGAAGTGGGCGAATTCTCCGTCGTTTTGGAGCACTTGGTGACCCACGAACTGCGGGAAGCGCACACATCAAGAATCAAGCTCTACGCTGAAGACAGCTTTGAAGTGACCGAAGAAATCCTCGAACACGTTTCCGAGCAAGGGATCATGCTGAAGGTCAAGTCCATCGCGGGACGCAAGTTTGTCCCGGATGTGAAGCCTTCATGCTGGAAGTGCTTTGGGAAGGTTTTGAAGATATCGAGTCCTCATGGGAACCGCTGCAGAAGCTCATGCATGAATGCCCAGCCGTGGTGAGGAACTGCGTGGAAGGCGTGAAGACAGCGAGCGAAGGCGATGCATTACTCAAGGCGATGAAGCAAGCGAAAGCGAAGAATTAGCGAGGCCCAAGTGTGTCCGGCGGGACATGGCTTGGGGTGGGTGTTGTGGTGGGCGACTTAATCCAAGTCCCGCCATGACACAGGTGGGCCTCAACCGAGGCCACCGGGTGCCGACCCTTGGCGAACCGACACGAAAAGGCATAGTATTACTAGTAGTATTACTAGTAGTACTAGGACGTAGAAAACAGAACACCTGTCCCAGCCAACTGCCAGAATCTCACTCTTGGTTCTGCAACGTCGTGCTAACGTCAAGTCAATCAAGTGTGTGGTTTGCAGGGAGTCGGCACTCCCCCATTTGGTTGTTTGTGTTGGCACTGGCGTGGGAAACAAACACACCAACATTCACAGGTCAACGAAAACAACTTGGGCACCCAATCGAAAAGTTGGCGCCGTGTGTAAAGGCCCTTATCCGAGACGTGCGGACGTACACTGACAAGTGCAACGGGTCGTTGCGACCGGTGCCCATCGCTCGCGACAACGTCGATATCGATACCTCTTTGCACCCCCGTGCTAGTTGACTCGACTACTACGAGTGCCCCAAAGACGGCAATGAAAACACCCGAGCGGAATGGTACGACCCAACGAAGGAAAACCATTTCAAGGTGCGAACAACATAGGATTGGGTTCAACCCATATCTCGAATGCGACACGACCATCCACGTCACGAACGA